GTACTTCACGAACCTATCCACATAAATCGTTGTAAGATCCTTTAAAGAGCCCATATTATGCCCTTTTTGGGGTTCGTATATTTAATCTATGTACCTACTTTTGTACGTTCACAATAGATAAAGTTAAAAAAGTGTCTGTTTTCATGTACTGCTCCTCCTTGCTCCCTCAACGCTCTGAGTCCGTCAGCTGCACTCTGTTGAGCCCACACTGTTAGACCCCACGTGGGCCAAGTCTGCTCTGATTGGTCTGCTGATCCGCTCTGTCGTTATTGGTCAGTTGCTCAGCACGCGTCTCGGAAATTTCAACATGAGCTGCAGGGCTTTCCACAAGGAGCCAATGGGCTTAGATCAGTGATCTCACACTGACAAATTTTTATGGAGGGGGGCTAGAACCGAGCGTTACATGCAGCTAATGCTACAGCTAACAGGAGGACGTAGGAGAAGCCGCGTTTCTGCAGACTTTGAATTTAGAAAAAACACACTAAAGCATATAAAACCAGAAAAAGCATAATATGGGCCCTTTAAACCTGATGATGGGCAGCTGAAGGTTAGTGATAGAATCGGTTGTCTCTCATGAAAGGTCAGGGGTTCATGACGCTACTTTGCAAAGACTGTGAGCTTTTGGTCTGGTAGCTGGAGAGGTGCCAGATCACTTCCTGAGCACTGCCGAGGTGCCCTTGAGCAAGGCACTGAACCCCCCACCATCAGCTCAGGAGTGCCCGCTGTGGGCAGCTCCGTCACTCTGACATCTCTCCATTAGTGCATGTCCATAGGATCCTGTTTGTGCATGTGTATATTTCAGCCTATGTATGTGTTGCATGACTTACAGAGTGTAAAAACAGAAATTTCCCCTTGTGGGGATCAATAAAGTAAATCTTAATCTTAATCTTAATCTTAATCTTTTGCACGAGGGCGGCAGTGTGGCAAGACTGATGTTTACCATTAAGACACTTCCATCATATATTATATGGAATATAAATAAGGAGATTACAGAATATAAAGTCAAAAGTTTATGGGGGACATTTGTATAAGTCATGTGTAACTTGGTGCATGTTAAATGATCATCCTAACCCAAGAGTTTTTAATAAACTCTTAAAACAGTCAGTGTTTTATTATACACATAAAGTGGTAATTCCATTAAAGAAATTACAAAAATTAATTTGTGTATAATTGATCTTTAAAGAAAGATAATAGGACGCTGCCAAGATCGCAATTTGCAGGTCAGACCTTGAACAAATGGAAATTAGAATCTGCCAAAGAAATTGCAACCAGTGCATCTCAAAACACAGCATCCAGTTAACATCAGTGGTATTATGAAACCCTGGTTAATATCACGAGTAAACATTAAGACATTGTGACAATGCTGCTGTTGGCTCTTGTGTTTCTCTGTGAGGTCAGAGTCATGTGCAGTTTTGTTGGTCTCAGTCTGTCCCTGATAGCATCTTAATGACTGACCTACTATTACAACATATGATGGATCTAAAGTAAGTCCAAATAAATAAGAGAATGAAAAGTACGTGTTGTATATGTGAATTATTTTATGGGAAAGAGGGAAGAGAGAGGGGGATCTGTCATGATCTCTGGTTGTATACCTTTGTACCCTGAGGGCTGGAGGGTGAGCAGCTCAAGTCAGGACTTGTTCAAAAGCTTGACAGATAGATGTGTAAATATCCTCTCTGTCAAGAATGATCTGTCTGTATGTGAAGGAATTCATTTCGAAGCTAGGGTAGACCACTGAGGGGTGTGGTGGGTGTCCCTTCTATAAAGTCTAACTCTAAAATAATTTCTCATTCAGTCAGTAGTTGTATATCCTCCCATGATTGCCTCAATTTTTCCACCCAAACTCTAAAAACTGCTTTAAGTTGCTTTGCAGAAACTACATTTTTAACTGATGGTACTAATAGACAACTATAATACCAGTAATAAAACTTCATGACAGCATGCTGACTATTAAAGAACCGTATAGTACAGTGAGATCATAAAGACTTTGATTATTCCAATATTCTATGTCTCTTAGACACATACTTAATCTCTTAATCTCCACATCAACATGTTGCACATAAAGACGGCCGACACTTCCTCAGAAATTTTAGTTCCAGCTAATTCCACTTTGTCTATCAACAGCTAATAAAGTTAAGTTAAAACAGGGTTGTTAATCCCCCACAGAAGGGGATATATTTTTAGTTTTACATAAGTAGTGTAAAATTAAGACATGGGTTTGTGTGCTCCATTAGTACTAGATCAGTCCGTGCAGAGCTGCTGAAAAATAGAGTTTTTATTTGTATTTCTGTAACCTTCATGGATACAAAACTAAACAAACATAGGCAGTTTGAAGTTGAGTTATTGAGCGTTTACTTTCTGAACTTTCTTTTAAAAGCTGACAATAAAACAATATTCAAATGTGTGCTGGCTCAATTGAATCATTTTAATGCACATTCAGCTAATATATGTGTGTGGTAGTTTCATGTTAAGATGTTTACACGTATGTAACCTCATCAAACTTTTGCAAAGACTTTACATAAAGGTATAATATGTAGAATTTAATGACAATGTTTACATTAAAATATCTAAATTAATCAAAAATGGACTAGACCTATTTTGTTTTATTGAGTACTTACATTACCTTAAATATTTCCAACATTTATCAAAGCCAGAGAAATCCTTAAACAAAAGTCCATCTAACACAGTACGGTAGATCCAGAAGACATCGACATGGTGTAGTTAGTTGGTCTTGTGCTCTTCTTTTTTCCACAGTCTTTTTGATGCTTCATAGCTTAAAGATTTACAATGGTATATACACTGAACTTGTGACTGAAGTCGTGATTACAACTCGGAAACTCAGAGAAAAAAAAGTAGCCCGAGTTCAGATCCAATATGGCTGCTACGTGCATCGAAAGGGTTGTTTAAGATGCAACTGTTGAGTTAGCAGCTTAGTCCTCTTGTTGTGTAATTCACTAACGTATTAACAATGGTTCAACTGTCATGTCACATAAATTTGTTGGTAAAAAATGGCTCTAAACGAAGGAACACTACACCAAAATCTCTTACTAAAAAATAAATGTCAAAATAAAAAGTTTGCTAGCTTGATATAACACCCGGTCTCGCCCAACTCATCATTATTTATATTCACGTATGAATACAACAGGTTTTAATATCATCCAGGTGACTTTACATATGCTATTCTTTTCTAAATCAGCTGATAACTCAGAGTTTATGTCCCCTTTTCTCTAAAATAAACATTTATAACCACTCCATTACAGCTATGAAAACTGTTAGAAACTATTACAAATAAATATTATTTAAAAATAAAGATCCCTCTCGGGTAACACGGTTAATAATTACTCATCAGGTGTTTAAAGTCACTTTATGACTCCTCTGATGACTCCTTTGAGCAGTTTGACGGAGAGAGATTGAACAGACTCTCATGCACACGTTTAATTTTATACCGTTATGATGCCGAGCTCTGTTCAGAAATGTCATATTTGAAATGTTTACATCACTGGTCATCAGATTTAGGTTCATACTTTCCGTTTTAAAGTATGGTTTTCATTTTTTAAGACTTTAAATCGGTAAAGACCCCAACTTTTCCATTAACCACCATTCATTCAGATGGTATGATTTCACCCAGAAAGAGGCGGGGCCGGCATCGTTTGGGCAAAGTACCCGGATGGGTTGCTCTCATGAATGGAACGCGGCAATAGACGATACCAGGGTGGGTATATTTCTGGCCACCGAAGTGTATTTCCTACGTGTTTTTATTTAATTTTTAATTTATTCATAAAATTGCTGCGTGCTAGCAGAGCGCACAAGAGTGCAGACGCACTATGAGTATTTAGCGCGTTTTATGTAGCTGCAGCTACTTTTCCTGCTCCTCTCTCTGCTGTGAACATCACAGGGCACGCTGAGACACACCAACATACAGTACATAGATACACAATAACTTGGGATGCTGGGTAGTTTTGCTGCTACTCCAGTCTTTTATGTTAACTGTGTTTTCTGGGTCCCCTGGACAATTTTGGTTTTGAGTCAGCTACATGGCAGCAGTGGTTTAGTTCATCAATCTACAATTCTACAATTCACTTAGCAGACGCTTTTATCCAAAGTGATGTACATCAGAGAGTAAGTACAACTCAAGCAAGGATCTAGAAAAAAGGGAACAATGTCAGTAAGAGCAAACGATCAACTTTGAGTCCGATTGGACACACAGGTGCTGACAGGCATTGCACAGAAGCAAAGCACAACATTGACGACAGTTCTTGAGAGCTCTAATCAGTATGGAAACCATTTAGTAAGTCCTCGTTATCAAACAAAAACCATCGTCACTACCATCATCATCATCAATAATATCGAGACCATCGTCATTAAGTTAGTAGGTATTCATGAAAGAGCTGGGTCTTTAGCTTTTCGATCGAATGGAGTTTGGAAGTTCATTCCAACAACCGGGGGGCGACAGAGGAGAAGAGTCTAGTCAGCGTCTCAGGACCCTGTTGTGAAGGTTGGATCAGACGCCTTTCATTGGCAGAGTGTAGTGGGTGGGAGGGAGTGTAGACCTGGATGAGAGAGTTAAAGTAAGGAGGAGCCGTTTTTGTCGCTGTTTTGTAAGCGAGCAGCAGAGATCTCATTGCATTATGAAGTTTAGGAGCTTATTATGGCTCTATACAGTTTAGTTGTTTTTACCCCCTCTCGATTCTATCGCTTGCGATTTTTATGGTTATCCCTCTGGGATAACTTTGAGACACCCCCAGGTCCCCGCACCTGCGTCCCACTTCCCGCGTATCCTGACACAAAGCAAACTTCATCAAAAGAACAGTTTAAGCCCACCTGGTGGATTCCAGTAAACTACAATGAGGCCCCTGGTGCAGTCACGTTGCCAGCAAAGTATTTGGTTGTCCAACAATGTAGGATGGGCAAATTTTCAGATGTTTTGATCTGTCAGTAAAAGTAAGCACAAATGGCTCCATGTTTGTTCAGTTGTTTTAAATATCTGTTTTTTCTCATTCTCTCTCCCTCTCTCTTTGTCTTTTTTTCTCTTGTCATCACTCCAGCTCTCCCATTTCAACCCATTCCTATCTTCTATGCAGCATAAAGAATAAAAAGGAGAGATATCCACATTACACTGACATAGATCCAGAGCCATCATGCCGCGCTGCAAAGTTAACCTCAGCACCATGATTTTCCTGGTGATCCTGCAGGGTGCAGCGGTGGTCCTCTTTTGTGGCTGGTACATGGAGCTGAGTCCCTGCAGCCCTGCGCCTTCAAATGGCAAAGTTCACGTTCTTCTGCTGTCGTCATGGCGATCAGGCTCATCCTTCCTCGGTCAGGTGTTCAGCCAACACCCATCAGTGTACTACCTCATGGAGCCCGCTTGGCATGTGTGGACCAGACTACAGAAACCGGGTGCACGGTTGCTTCGGATGGCCGTAAGAGATTTGTTACGGAGCGTCTTCCAGTGTGACCTCTCTGTGATGGAGGCCTATCTGCCAGAGAATCACAATGTGTCCACCTTGTTTATGTGGTCTCACAGCCGAGCCCTGTGCTCGCCACCGGCCTGTCCTCTCACGCCACGTACCGAGTTCAGCAACCAGACTTGGTGCAAGCAGGCGTGTGATGCCCGGGGCCTCCAATGGGCGCAGGACGCCTGTAGCACTTACAGCCACGTGGTGTTAAAAGAAGTGAGGTTCTTTGAACTGGAATCCCTCTACCCACTCTTGCAGGACCCAAGCCTGGATCTCCGCATCATCCACCTGGTCCGAGACCCCCGTGCAGTTTTGAAGTCTAGAGAGGAAGCAGCCAAAGCCCTCATGAGAGATAATGCTGTTGTGTTAGAGCAAAGAACCATACCAGCAGCGGAGGTGCAGTATCAAGTCATGCAGGAGATCTGCCGCAGCCATGTGCGTATCAACGAGAGAGCCATCCTGAAGCCCCCCCCTTTTCTTGAAGGTCGCTACAAAATGGTCCGCTATGAAGATATTGCCCGCAACCCACTCAAGGAGATAAATGCCATTTATGAGTTTGTAGGTCTGGAGATGACTAAAGAGTTGGAGGAGTGGATCTTTCGTGTGACACACGGAAAAGGCAAAGGCACCAAGAAAGAGGCTTTCAAAATTACATCAAGAAATGCTGCTGATGTCGCCCAGGCTTGGCGTAGCATACTCCCGCACAACAAAGTCAAACGAGTCCAGGAGGTGTGTAAAGGAGCCATGTCACTGCTCGGGTACAGAACAGTTTACAGTGAGAAAGAACAGAAGAGCCTGGACATAGACCTTCTCGTGCCACAAGAACCATACCAGTTCAGCTGGCCGCCAACTAAAACAGAGCATCCAGGAACCAGTTAAAAAAAGAATGACAAAGACATTAACACAACATTAAGAGACGATATTAGAGGGAAGTCTTTGTTCTTAAAGAGTGTTGAGGGTCATAGAAACATGGGCGTAAAGTAAAATTGAGTTGTGACAAATATGAGGCCTTACCTGATTCTGATTTTCATCAGTCAAATCTGATTCGCTGGTTGCTATAAAACTTTAAAAGAGCCCATATTATGCCCTTTTTGGGGTTCATATATTTAATCTATGTACCTACTAAAGTATGTTCACAATAGATAAACTTCGAAAAAAGTGTCTGTTTTCATGTACTGCTGCTCCATGCACCGGCTCGCTTCTGACTCTCTCTAAGGCTCTGAAGTCCCCACGTGTGCCAAGTCTGATCTGATTGGCTCAGCACGGTTCTCGGAAATGTCCCGCCTCTTTTACCATATTGGGAATGCAGCCACTGGCTCCGTCCGAGAAGAGCATAAACATTAGCACCTTAGCACTACTGTGCTACCGCAGAGTACGGCATATCGTGGGCGGCTACAGAAGTTAACTGGCGTGCAACATGAGTTGCTGGGCTTGCCACAACGAGCCAATGGGCTTAGATCAGTGAGCTCACACTGACAATGATGTCGGACTGACAAATTTTTATCGAGGGGGGCTAGAATCGAGTGTTACTTGCGGCTAATGCTACAGCTAACAGGAGGACGTAGGAGAAGCCGGGTTTCCGCGGACTTTGAATTTTTGCACATAAATGTGCCTAAACATACACAGGACACTTGGAAAACACACTAAAGAGCATATAAAACCAGAAAAAGCATAATATGGGACCTTTAATATTGTTTCCTTTTTTTATTAGTCTAGAGCAACACTAAACTCCAGTATCACCCCTCAGCACTCTCATGTTTCTACCTGTTAGTTGACATTAATCTCAGTTTTCCTTAAGGGTCTGACTGCTGGAACTTTTCCAGCTGAGTTTATGAGCTAAAGTTAGCAGCAGCTTAGATTGCAGCCCCTCATAATATGAGAAATGCAGATTTTTAACTTGAAATGGCTGTTTTTTCTGGTCATAAGCAGCAGGTTAGTTTGTTTTAGAAAGGAGAATAATTCAGATGATTCTGATAAACATTTGCTGGAGGAGCTGCGTGTGTAAATGCAGACATCCACACTTTTCACTCAGACTTTATCTGGACTTTCTCCTGCCAGCTCCCTAGAATTTTTTCTTTAGAAAGTCTGAGTGCACTGAGCATTGATAAAAAGGCAAATATTTATCTTTTAGTGTTTTGTAGTGAACTCTGTAGCTTTTTCCGCCATGCATCTTTCTTTATATGTCACGTCTTTCCTCAGAAGACGTCCCCCCCCCCTCCTGTTGGACCAGGATAGTGCCCCACTGTGAGGTTCAATCTGTAGTTGGAGCAGGCTTATATAAGAACATGAATTTAAGAGCACACAATTATGTCACAGTTTGTAAGTGAGGAACCCACAGTCCACATTTACATGGCTGCACTTAGTTTGGTTGGAAACAGGAGGGAGTTTGAAGATAATTAGCTGCTTTGTGATAACTCTGAATGATGTCATGTCACAAAGATAAACCTGTTAAATAGCTTCCAATTGTGTGTGCACAGGGGGATGTGCCCACATTCAAAACACAAATGTATTTGAACCAAACATTCACGTCAATTCACTTCATTTTATGCACCTTCCTTGTGTCACCTTAAGACCTGATGCTTTTTTCAGAGAAGGAGCAGCTGAATGAATGCTTCATCTGGGATGGTTGTGTATGGGGTTGTGATTGTTCAAGGACGACACTACAGGTGCCTTGGTAGAACTCCATCAGTGACTGTCCAAATGACCCTGAAGGCCTAGCAGGATCATCTGTTGTCCACATGTGAGTAGGTCTTTGTGGTTTCTTCTACTCCACCCCACATCTTGAATACCCTCAACAAAACCAGAGCCCTTAGTCAAAGAGTGCAGCCTGCACAGGTGTGACCACATGCTACACTCTGTTTTAGGGTGTCTTGAATATTGTGGGGTACTGTGACCAGAAACACAGTGGGGACACTCAGACGAAGAAGCAGGCACATAATGACGTTACATCCGAGCGGGTCACCAGGTCATGCCAAACAATACGCCTAATATGTGCTAAATACCTGCCACAGCCTCAAGATCCTACACACAAGATATGTGACAGTATTCCATAGAGGAGTGGAACACCGGCTCTTTTCTGCTCAGGGCAGCAGATAAATGACAGTCAATCTAAGTAATAGATCTTTTCCTTGTACGTTTGCCAAGACCCAGCTCTTTCTCTTTCGTGGAGATCTAAAAAAGGTGTGTGTTTTAAATTTTCAACATCGTCCGTCGTGTTGGGGACATTTCACATACATGATATGGATTATGTAGATGGGTCAAGATGGTCTCAACACAATAAAGACAAATAAATGAAGTAAAGTTTAGACTTTTAAAGAGCCAAATTGATTTCTTTTTATAGTACGGTAATATTTTAGATTCTTTGACTGATTTATGTCTCTCCAGCGATTTAATTATACTTGTATTCATGGTACCTTTGGAGCCGTCTCAGCACTGTTCTGTTTTCTTTATTTAACATGATGTGATAAACTCCTTTGTTTACTCAGTACAGTGCTTTCCCATAGTTTTTCCCCATCAAAACACATTTAAAAGACACACTAATTTGGTATGCATTCTACGGTGATTTTAGTTTTTCTGTGTGATTGAACTTTTCATTTGTATCTCGGCACAGAGTGCATTAAAAAGACAAACATAAGACTGTCGCTAAGAGTAAGTAAAGCTGAAGATGAGCATCTGGTTCTGTTTTCTGTGTGTCTGCTGGATACATATGGAACCAGGGGGAACAGAGTGTTCACTGAGTACATTGTGTTCTCTCAGTTGGTGTATGTGAGTATGTGTTTGTGGCTTTTTTTTTAAAAGAGAGAGAAGCAGAAATGTATTACTGATTCAATGGTGGATGGAGTGTTACATATGCAAGCTTTCAAAAAGTCGTTTCTGATTTCATGAGGTGCATGAACTATGACCATGTGTCCCTTTGCAATGTGAAAGATTCTATTTGTGTTCTGTCTTCTGTTTGCATTTATATGAAGAGTTGACCGTGTCAGTGCCTTACAGAGAGGGTACAGCTCACTGACCTGACTGTATTTATCTGAAAATCTGAAAGAAACTACATGGTGCTAATGGAAGCAATAAATATTTACTTGTTACCTTTGGCTGTCTTTGTTGGGTTTCTTTTAACTAAGAGTTACGTGTGGATTCTTTACATCTGGAAAAAAAAAAAAACTCTTTCCAACTGGGCATAATTTATGTTTGTGCACCATCTGCTGGCTACCAAACAGTATGAAACAGAATTGAAACTCCTTGTCTAATTATCTGTCAGCTCCAAATAAAAAAGGCAGGACCCTTTTAGAAATTGTTTTATATAAGGTTATCATTATTCTTACGAAGGGTGTTATATGATAAACCATTTAATAGCAGTCATTTGTTTTTTAAATCCAGTGGAATTAAAAATGTAAGACAGTAACCATACTGCAATAATGACACGACACATATCATCCTCTGTTAAACTGGACTTAACTAAGAAAATATACTAGTTTAAAAAGTAGGTCATTATATTTCCACATGGATCAGCTACAACATAAATAATGCACAGCAGTTAGTTTTGCTGCTCACCACAACAGCTGTACTGGGGAAGATGAAGACAGCCTCATGTTACACCCTTACACCTGATACACTTGGAATACCTGTTTGTTACATATCGCAGACATAGAAGAAGCATATGTTGTTCCTAGATCCAACCTCAGGCCTCCCGAACAACTAGTGCTAGTGTTCCTGCATTAAAGGCCTGTAAAGGACAAAATCCTCCTGCTCCCCTGAAGACAACCATGTGACAAAGTCTGACCTTCCCCTGAAGAACTGATGGTCTCAAAGGAATGTCATGTAAATGGTAAATGGACTTGAGCTTGTATAGTGATTTACTAGTCTTCAGACTAATCAAAGTGCTCTTACACTGCAGGTCACACCTACAGTACCCATTCAAACAATGATGGCAGAGGTTGCTTTGTAAAGAGACCATCAGAAGTAACTAATCCCATTCATACACATTCGTACGCCACAAACAAAGCAACAAGAGCAACTTGGACATCAGACTTGGCTGCGGGAGCTGGGCATCAAACCCCTGACCTACCTGTTAAGGGACGACCGACCGAGCCACAGCTGCCATAATGTAGTAGAGTGTCTGTAAGAAGACGTCTATAATAAGACATATTCTTTAGTTTCCTAAGTAAAGCCAGTGCAGATGTATCTTAAACTTGCATTTTTTTTCAATTTTTCAGTTAGTGCTCAAATGTTGGCTAAAACAAAGTTAGATTAAACAAAACCAGATGGGAAAATGATCCTCCTTCTCAATTGATTTTTTTACAACAGCAAACTATTTCCAAATTAGCTGATGTTCTCAATAGCCGGTTTAATTCTCTTCAATTCAGTAACAAGAACATTAAAATAGTTTCTCCTGTTGCTTTAAATTCACTTTAATGTCCTCCTGCTTTTTTGTTTGAAAGATATATTTTGGGGCCTTTTTGCGTTTATTAGATAGGACACACATGAAGAGAGAGACAGGACATGAAAGGAGAGAGAGGGGGATGACATGCAAAGAACAGAGGTCAGATTCCACAGCCACTGCGATGAGGACTATGGCCTCTGTACATGTGGTGCACAACATAACCCCTAGGCCATCTGGCACTCCATAATGTCCTCTTGCTTTGACTTGTGTCATTTTTGTACTCTGTTTCCCATATTACTACTACAGTGGTAGATACAAGGTATGTGCCTACCGCCAACAATGGTTGCCGCCCATTCAAATAATATTTTCAGAAAAGAGAGAACTGAATGGAAATAAATAAATGCAGAGCATGTTCATGTGAGAATCAATTAACATTTGGGCACAAATGAATTAATTGTATGACAATAATTATGTGGTCATGGCTGTTTCACATCAATGACTGAAACCCCCATTTTACTCATCTTCTACACAAACATTTTAATGATATCCAAAGGTGTATATCATAGCAGATAATGACAGGATGACTACTGAGTTTGAATATTAGGAAGAGATAAGTTAAGAGAGGAGGTGACTGTTATGATATCTGGTGTTTACCTTTGTGTCCTGAGGGTTAGCAGCTCATGTTAGGACTTGTTCAATAAACTCAACAGATTAAAGTTTGCTTGAGGAGATCCTCTCTGTCAGCAAT